GCTGTCTCAGATCCCACGTGAGTGGCCGGCATAAAGATTATAGTTATAGGTCGAGGTGCCCTGACTCGCAGTTCTGGATGGGTCCGGGGCATTCCGTCAGTTGACAAACTTCCGGACCACGGCTGTTAACGTGTCGTGAAAGTTTTGAGGCACATTCGGTTATTTATAATGAGGAAGTACGCAATGAATTACATCTTTTTCTCTACTTTCCTCCACACATTAGCGGCTTTCCCAGATCGGACAGATTAAGGACGAGATTGGGTACAGAGATCTGTCAAACGCGTGCTACACACGGTTTCTAATCTCACAATTGCAATGTGCACAAAGAGCATAACAAGAATCTATTGGAGTCCAAACATTTTTTTCTGAAGATAGCAAGTTATTCCGCCAGCTGGCAGCCTTAGGAGTTACAATATTTAGTAATTTCTGACATTTTTGGCACATAAGCCTCCGTCTAGGCTGTACGGCACGCGTGTGCAGCAAAATTCAAGGACTCACACAGACTGCGAAATCATACAATCCAATGTAATGAGCTAGTATGACACCCACGTTGGCCAAGCTCAACCATAAACGGGATGATTCGGAAGTGCCTGCGATTCGACACAGTCAGACATAATGAACTGTCTCAGGAGTGCTGACGACTTACTTCAATGCAGAAGAAATGAAACGTCGTGGTCACTGACCCAGTATCGAGATCACTGACTTATGGCTAAGTGCAACGGTTATCGAAAAAAATTTAGTTCCATAACTGTCTGTCCGTTTAAAAAAGAACGTCCGCAACTGCAAGTTTCACTAAAAAGTTACTAGCATCTCCCAGAACAAAGAAAGAAAAGAAGATTTTTAAAATAAAAATTATAATGTAGGAAAGAGGACATTCCAATTTCGCAACCTATTCGAGACGACCGATACCTCTGCGGTTTTTTCGAACATAGCCACAGCGGGCAGCAAGGACAATAACGCAAAAAATAAGATACGAAAGTCTGCCAGCCAGTCGTCTGGTTATAGTTCCACGTCACGTGATGCAACATACAGTTCCGGTGTCAGTTATCGTAAACACCCAAGTCATCTACCGAGATGGCTGCAGCGATAACAATATGACAACAAGAGAGCTGTATGCATGCACACGAGATAGCGGCATGAGAAGTTAGGTCTTATTCGAGTAGTCGAGACTCGTCATCAGTTAGATTCTGTAAGTACACTTATTCTGGGCCTAGTCAGTTCGTGCGACTGGTGGATGCACACTCTGACACCAACTCAATGCACAAGCACACCGACCTCGTCCCTTGAGTGAGGTCAAGGTAAAAGACTGTAACAAGATCCATTATAAGGAGATCCCAGAGTGGTAAGACCAACTAATGATGGAATGATAATTACATTGTCAAACAGGGAGCTGGTTAGTCTTAAGTAGAAGTAGCGATCCCACACCTTCTTTCAGTCGATGGTTAAACAATACGGTGCTTACACTACTTATGCCATTTAAAACGATTATGCAGATCAGGCAATACTGACGGCCACAATGGAAATATCCAGAAAATCC